AGAGAGAGAGAGAGAGAGAGAGAGAGAGAGAGAGACAGACAGACAGACAGACAGACAGACAGACAGACAGACAGACAGACAGACAGACAGAGCGAGCGGGGTTGAGGACGGACTTAATAAGAAAGCACGATGAAAGGAACCAGTACCAGTAGTAGCGGTCGGCTGTTACGGGCTCGTGCGGTACCGATGCGTTCAACAGCTGAATTGGCCATCTAATTTATGTCCATGTTCGGAGGTCTAGGCGCGGGGAGAGAGACCGAAAACGGCATTGCTCGGATCGCGGGTCGACTTGTTCGACCAAGGAGCGCACTGCGAGTGAGTACTTCCCCCCGCTGCTGACTCACTACTTTACTCCCACCTTTTACACAATCGCGAAGAAGGGGACACTCTGGAGGAGCAATAAACGTTGATGGGACGCGAGGCCCGTGATGCGCGTCCCGAGGCCTCCACCGCCACCCCGACGACGCACGGCGGCGCGCTGACAGGGGACCACGCGGAACCGCAATACCGGGCCTTTGCCTGGGCCGGGGGTAAGTGCAGCGCTGAGATCACGAGCAGCCCGTCGGCCAAAGGCGAAGCCAAAGGTTCACTCGCCCGCTCGTGGACAATTAGCGAAATAACGGACAATGACGGCCTGCATTGCTATCGCCGCTCGTAAAGATAACCGCTGCGCATGTACTTACTGCAGCCGGCGCAGCTTGCGACAGGTCGGCCGCCGCGGCCGCCGCGGCCCCGGGGGACGAGGTGCATGCATGACGACAGTAGGAGCTCATCACCCGGGGGGCTTCATATAAGAGCCCTAACCTCCACGCCGCGCTACGCAGCGCTACGCTCGCCACTTGGGCTCGTGCCGCCGAGAGCCTAGCCGCGGACCCCAGAGCGGAGGCTGCTGCAGAGGCTGACCTCCAGCCTCCACGGCGGCGCCCTGCCTGACCCGACCTTAGCTCATCAGTCCGAACAGTGATAAGAGCTCGCACGCGGCTCCTGCAGGCAGCAAGACGCCTTGGTCTCTCGACTTTCATATAAGTATCTTTACGAGCCGACAATGTTTTGTAGCGGAACCCTGACACGCGAATGAAGACGACGACGAAGCTGAGAGCAGCTGTCGCTGGCACGGCGTGGTACCCCGCCCCTGAGCAGCGAGCCGAGTACCCATGTCTCACTCATGAGCAGTACTCTGGGGTGTTCTAGTGCCCCCCCTTCCCCGTCCACCCTCGGAACGCAGGGTCTCCATGCGCAATGTACTCACCGAGGGCTGTCTTGAACGCCATGTTGTCGGCCGACCCCGGAGATGGTGAACACTGACCCACCTAGCACCTGAAACAAAACAAAACAAAAACTCTCGCTGTGACCATCGCAAACAGAACAAGGAATAACGCATCATTGGAATGAGAAAAGCAGGACGGAGCATAACACTGCTCGCAAGAATAAGAGAACGATTTTTCATATCGCCCCGGCGCCGTGCTGGGCTGGACGTTGCGTCAAGCACTCATTGGAAGCGCTGTCCCTAATGTCTCTGAACAATTGGCACGACTGGCCAGTCAGAGGCGAGGAGGCCGGCGGCGGCGGTGACCGGCCAGGCGCGGCGGCGCGGCCACACAAAAGCGGAGAGATGTAATGCTTCTGCTTGCCCCGCCGAGCCAGCAGTGCACACTAATGTGAAGTACTGAAACGGCCAGCCGATGATGAGTTTCGTTACAATTTGACTTTTGAACTTTTAACGATGGAAGGTGTCTTTTTCGGAAGCTAAATGTGAGGTAAACCACCATGTGACGCTTCAACGGATGGCGTTCGACGCGTTAACTTTCAACGCCTTACCTTAACTTACAGCGATGCTTCGAATCATC